CATTTTCCACAGTATGCATCCGATGAAGTGAGCTGTAGCTCACGAAAGCTTATGCTCAAATAAATTGGTTAGTCTCTAAGGTGTCACAAGGACTCCTTTTCTTTTTGCGAATACAGACTAACACGGCTGTTACTCTGAAACCCCCATTTACTGTGATCCCATCAGACTGCAAACTAAGTAGGATAAGATTGGGTCAGTACTTGGATGGGATGGCTGCAACCAGGCTGCAGTGCTGCAAGGAATGTTGTTGGTAATTCAGAGGGCAACTCTTCCCTTGGAGTTGTCGCTGCGTGAGTACCGCATCATGGTGTGCTGTGTTTCTGTCTTTTCAGAAGATACGTCAAGCTGAGGTCCTGCTTGCTTGTGTTCATTAACAGTCCTGCTTGTATCGCCAAGGGGGTGTTAAACTTGGTATGCTGGCCAAATTCTAACAATAGGAATTTAATTCTCCCTAACTAAATTCTGTCTTCAGTTTCACTTGCACACAGTGCTCTTGTTCTGTAGCGGTAAACAGGAGCTGCTGAGTTTGACTCCAGAAGTGACTGCATTTTGGTAAAGGATTACTCTAATCCATTACAAGTTTTTAGATTCATCTACATTTGGAAAGTGCTTTGAGATGAAAGATGCTGTATAAACAAAGTGATGTTATTTAGTCTAATTATTTTTCAGAAAACTATTGGATTTGAAAAGGTTGTATTTTCTCTTCCCCTCACTCCCCTGTTTCATCTTAACCTGAGGTAATACTGCAATTGAAAGGTTCATCTGTTCTTTTGCACTTCCAAACTGCCCATATGTCCTAGGTGCCGACTTAAACTGTCTTTCGTTTGCACCTCATTTCCCTAGAGTCTTGGAGGGACTCTGCTGTGGAGTGACATCTTCCTTTCCAGAACACATCATAGTACAACTCCTAGACTAGATCTGTCAGTCTGAACAGTGGTGATCTGATCTTACACATTCTGCTTGGCCCCAGTATATTTAGGAAAGGAGAACGTAAGATCAGAGTTTTTGTTAAGGTCTGACTGTATTCTCGCTGATGCACAAGGCACAGACAAAGACCATCTCTGTCCTGAGGAGCTACTGAATGTTCCTCTGAGGGAAGGTCATGCCCCCTTTGGCTATGAATTTCTTTATTGAATTCAAGTCTGTGTGAGACAAATAAGGACTCTGGTTGCATTACCACAATGCACTCCTTGTGGGGCAACCTGAGAAGGTAACTCAGACTTCAGCTAGTGAGAGAGTGGCTGCCTGCATAATGACCAGGATTTCACATGGAGCATGTTGTAATGTGTCTGTGCTTTCAGTTGGTTTCCATGGGTAAATCAAGGTGTTGGAAAAGAAAACCTTTTGTAGTTTTAAACCTGGATCTTGGAGATCATCTCCCACTCAGTTTGCCTGTGCTAGGAAAGAAGTGGATGCCTAATTCTCTGCTGGTGGGCACAGTGGTGAGGGCTGGAGTGTAGAAATGCTGCTCCTGCTACAGCATCATCTAACTGTAGGCTATCCACTATTGCGAACAACAGTGTTGCAATATGGATGCTGAACTAATGGGTCCAGTTTTGCCAGTGCAGAAGCAGCCTATTCAGGCTCCAACTTGGCATTTAAGATCAGCTGGCACAGTTGAGCTCAGAGCCTTCTGGTTTGTAAGTCTGAGGTCTGAGGGAAGGCTGGTCCCAGAGGAGGGCCATTCACTCTGGAGCTCACTGCTCCTCTTACTGCACTTGAATCTGAGACTATTTTCCCACAGGGTATGTTGCAAGGTGTATGCGAGGAAGGATGGTCTTGTGGTTAAGGCATTGGACTGAGGTTCCAGAAATCTCGGTTCCATTCCTTTTTCTGCAAAAGACTTTCAGTGCAACTTTGGGTAAAGTCACTTAAGTCCAGATTTTTGAAGTTCTCAGCACCCACAGCTGGGGCCAGATCTTCAAAACTGCTCAACATCCAGAAGCTCCCCTACATTTGTGGTTAAACTTTCAGATCAACTTAGCACCCAAAATCCTGAGCTCTCTCAAATCCATCTATTTTGGTGCCTAAATGGGAAATGAGCTTTTAATCACTGTGTGCCTCAGTTTCCCCTCTCTAAAATGAGGAGAATGCTTCCTTTGTCTTGTCTATTTAGACTATAAGATCTTGGGGGCAGGGATTGTCTGTTTTACTAAGAGTTTGTACCATGGCTAGTACAGTGAGGTCCCAACCTCCCAATACAAATGAATTTGTTCTATCTTTATTATTTTATTACTGTCATCTCAGGAAAAGCTTTTTGGTCTGCGGAAAAAGTGTTTGAGGGTTTCCCTTTGAGGTGGGAGAATAGGGAGTCCTTTTGGCATTGATTTGGTGACAGATGTAGATGACCTTAGTGTTCGTACATGCACCTAAAGGCTGAAATGGACAATCTTCATTATTGCTCTTATTCTTTTTTAATAAATTGGAAAATGGAAAAATTTTCCATTAAAGCAAAAAGCATATGGAAAAACTGCCATAGTCTGAAGGCTCTGGCAAGCCTTCCTATTTAGGAAGTGTGAATTTATGCATTTAATTACAGGCCCCTGTTCAGAGGAAACTGAATATTCGTCAGGATTAACAGAACCTTTACATGAGGAGTGTGAAAATGGGTTGTCAGCATAACGAACGTGTTCCTGTTCTCAGTTTTGCGACTCATGCAGTCATCTTGATGTGTCTTTTTAAAAAATATTTATTATTTATTTACATGGTGCCAGTTATGTGCCAAGGGCCTTTACAGACACACAACCTGATTCTAAACTCACTTACACCGTTCAAACTTCATTGGTGTAAGTGGAGTTACTCCCAGTTTACATAGTGGTCAGATCATGTTCTGAAATATACTTTTGCTCAAGGGTGTGGCTAGGGCCTTTTGAGTCAATGTAGGGGGAGGCTTGGACTGCTGCTGCCAGGGCTGTATCTGTTCTGTGGATAAAAAGAAGACTTCAACCTCCAGGGCTGTCAGTCAGGGACCTTTCTTCAAAGCTAACTATCTATATAAACACTAGTCTTGCAAAATTCTGTCCTTCCAGGGTGAGCAAATGACTTACTAATTTTTTTTAAGTAAAATCATTAGTCTATTCATCAATAATCATCATGGCAAAGGACGACAAGTAAATATAATGCCAGGATTGTATATTTGCAGGACTTTCTTTACCAGGCTGAAAATAGTAGAGCGAGACAATTACTTGAAGTTCATAAAGAGAAGGATGCTGTGGCAATGAATGATCTAGTTCCAATTTCTTTACTTAGTTGGTGTGGCCCTTCTTGGATATCCATATCCTAGAGGAACTACAGGGAAAACTATGTGCAGTGTTCATCCCGTACCACTTGCGCAACTAAGGGCTTATCTGCACATCCAACACTGAAGGGGCGCAGCTGCACCACTGTAGCGCTTAGGCTGTGTCTACACTAGAGAGCTTACTTTGGCACAGCTGTACTGATGCAGCTGCATTGTTGTAAGATCTCTCTTGCAGCTGCTCTGTGCTGATGAGAGAGAGTTCTCCTGTAGACATTAATCCACCCCCAGTGAGCGGTGGTAGCTATGTTGGCAGGAGAAGCTTTCCCACCAACGTAGCGCTGTGCACGCTACTGCTTATGCCGGCATAACTTATGTCGCTCAGGGAGGTAGAATATTCATATCCCTAAGTGACGTAAGTTTTGCCGACATGAGTGGTAGTGTAGACATAGCCTTAGTGAAGAGACTACCTATGCCGACAGGAGAGCTTCTCCCCAAGAGGCAGTACCTTGTCAGCGGGAAAAGCTCTCCCATCGACCTAGCACTGTCTAGACTAGGGGTTAGGTCAATGTAACCGCATCACTCAGGAATATGGACTTTCCACACCCCTGAGCAACATAGTTATACCAACATAAGTCTGTAGAACAGACCAAGCCTAAGGGCTGGTCAACACTATGGGTAGAGAAGGGGGAATCAATCTAAGTTAAGCAACTTCAGCTATGTGAATAACGTAGCTGAAGTCGACATACTTAGATCTACTCTACCGCAGTGTCTTCACAAGGTGCCCTCCTGTTGATTCCCCTTATGCTTCTCGTTGAGATGGAGTACAGGAGTCGATGCTAGAGCGATCAGCGGTCGATTTATTGTTTCTATACTAGACACAATATTGATGATTTATTGTGTCTATACTAGATACAATAAATCGACCCCCGCTGGATCAATTGCTGCCCGTCGGTAGTGTAGACAAGACCTCAGGCAAAGTGCTGTGAAGTGTACTGACATGGTCAGATAGTTTTGTCGTTAACTGTTGGGTCCTTCACCTTGCTGCAGTAGAAAACCTTTGTTTACCTCGAGTCTCTTTTTTTTTATGCCAATTTTGAGACCTTCCAAGTTAAAATAATTTTACTTTACTTTAACTGCTGTATCCTAATCTTTGGTAAATGAGATAATGTCCCACTTGCTATCCGGTAATTGATCTTGTCAGGTTTATTAAGTACGTTTAGCTTTGGTTCACCACACCTCTGAATCCATCAGTCATTTAGCCTACAGGGATTAATCTAGGACTCTGCTGCACAGAATCTCCTGTTTAAATATAGAGCCAGACCTCTACACTTCCAGCCTAGTGGCATGAAATGTAGACTTGGGAGCAGCCTGGGACTTAGGGGTTTTGAAGGCTCTACAGAAATGCGAGGGAGAGTTATGTTGCTGCTGGAGTGGCAACAAAAACAGCCTCGCTGTCATCCTTTCTGTGTGGGGAATGAACTCCATTTACGGATGGAGATCAGAGATTCACTTGAAGGAGGAAAACGATGACTTCTAGTTTGAAGGAATGGGCCTCTTCTGGAAATATTTTGTAATAGGCTTTTGTTTTGGGGGCAAACAGGTGCAGCAATGGAGAAGAGGTTCTCAGATGCCTGGGGAGCAGGGATCAGTTCAATGCTTTGCCTGCTTCCAAACAATCACCGAAGGGGTGATAGCTCAGACACTTGCACTATAAAGCTGTTCTCTGACAAGCAATGTTCTCTCCCGTATGTGTGACCTGCAGGTGACTCGGAGTGAGATGAAACTGTGTGTTCAGCAGGAGTTTGACACTGTACGGCGGCTGGTCTGTGAGGAGGAACGGAAAGCTCTCCACCTAGTGGACCTCCAGGAAGCGGTGGCCACTGCTCATGTGACAGAGGTGCTGGCGGAAATCAACGTCCACATGGCAAAGCTGATGACTGAGATGGCAGAGATCAGAAGGCAGCTGAACACCTTCAATGAGTTAGCCCTGCTCAAGCCTGAGGTAAAAACTAAGAGCAGATTAAATGATTATGGCAGGAGGCAACACAACGTTGTGATGGATGCAGGAAAGCAGTCTCCCATATGTCAACATTAAAGATGCCCTCAAATGCCACTAAATGTCTGAGGTGATAAGCCAAGATGCAAGTAATAGTGCAGGATGAGTTGTGCGGTCATATTGGATACTCGCATTCTTTAAGTGGTTAAAGGGGCACAAAGCCAAATGCCTGTAACCACTTAATAGTGGATTTCTAGTGTACTGCAGTTGTAATTTTTGAATTGTGCTATTGCTTCATAAAACATCCAGAGAATGCTTTAACATTCTTGTAACATGGCTAACAAGTGGTGAGCTTCAGGGTTACAATAGCCAGCCAGCCTGCCCTCACCCTCACCGCTCCACTTGGGATACCCATTTTTGGCATAGCAGGACTATTGTAGATATAATAGTGCATGTGCGTTCCTGAGAAAATGAAACACCTAGGTCAGTGGTATTCCATCCTTGGTTCTTAAACTATATGTAGATCTCAAGGGTCAGGGGCTGAACAGCACTCTTCTCTCCCTACCTGAGTTCTGAGTTTGGGATTAGATAAGCAAAATTCATCTATAGCCAAACTCCTTGAGGGTGCACACCTGAACTAAAAAAAATCTCATGTAACTGGCATTTCTGTTTCTAGTCCTCCTTTGAATCCCGAAGTGCAAAGATGGGGACGGGGGCAGGGCAGGGGGGATTATGGTTGTGGTAGGGGAAGGGGGAAGCCTAGTCAAACACTTCAAATGTGCACAGCTTCAGTTCTAAAAGCCTGCAGTGGGTTTTTGTTTGTTTGCTTTTGTTTTTCCCCAAACCAATTTGCCTCTCCCTTGTCTATCACTTTACCCATCAATTTATGCTTCCTCTATCTTCAGCACTGTAAAAGCTTCATAAAACACTAGCTTTTCGGAGTGTTCATTACATGGTAAATGAAATTCCTGTAACTGTTTAGACCATATAATGATATGGTAACTTTATATATGCCTGCTAAGGGAAGCCAATTCTTCACATGTGGTAGTTGTGTACATCAATGTGGAATTGTGTTTGTTTTTGTTACAGTACCGACCAAAGGCCCCAACCAAGATCAGAACCTCTTTGTGCTAGGCACTGTACGCTTAGTAAGAGAGAGTCCCTGCCCCAAAGAGTTTATTATCTAATATTGAACACCTGTATAAGGCCCACATATGGGAATACAGGTTTGCAGTTTAATCCTTTCTATGAGGGAAAGATGTATGGTTTTATTTCACATAAGATCTCTTTTAACCATCTTCACAGACAGTGGTTGAAATTCAGCCCTGGTGAAACTGTAGCCACTTTCCTGGAGTTACAGCAGGGATGAATTAAGAAACTCAGGTTGGAAAGAATCCCAGCAGGTCAAGAACTAAAACTTGAGCCATAAGAAGTTCTAGGAACAAATTAATTCTGCTCAATCTCTTTTGATGCAATTGCACCTGTAATGTAAAAGGAACTGAAGACACTCTGATAGTGGAGTTGAATCAACAGTCTTTCACTGTTGGTACCACTAGAGCCGGGATCAGCAACCATTGGCCAGTGGGAGCTGCGATCGGCCAAACCTGCAGACGCTGCAGGTAAACAAACCGGCCCGGCCCGCCAGCAGATTTCCCTGATGGACCGTGTGCCAAAGGTTGCCAATCTCTGCACTAGATTCTGTGTTCAATTGCTATTTTTTCAATTGCTTTCACATTATTCAGTGAATTGCCACTGAAGTGCCTAAAGCAGTGGTACCAGGAAGAGATTGTTTCTCCAGCAGTGAGAGAAGAGTGTTGCTAAATCGTGACACTAGCCATTTTGAAACTGGTACCTAGAGGTTGTGCACTTAAAGTGAAGGTCTTAAAATCAGAATTTTGTATGAGTCTAACTGTTAAGGTGTCCTGGTGCTTCCTCTTAACCAAGCTTTGAAGAACCTCCACCTAGCACAATGGGGTCCTGGTACATAACTGGAGCATTACTGCACTATAAATAATAATTGCTTTGCTACCAGTCCCTGGTTCAAGATCACTGTCTTGAATTTGAGTCACCACTGGCTTGAATCTTGTACATTCCAACTGTAAAGGGTCCAATTCTGTTACACTAAAGCCCCTTTATGCTGCTCTTACAACATAACAAGACTCCTAAATACTGCTGGGGTTTAGGGGGAGCTCCCAGCCTGCAACAGCAGGCAGACCTAGCTGGGAAATTGAACTGGGAAATGTGTCTGCAGCACATTCTTCTCTGGCTATTCTCTCCTTTCTGGGAGCCAGGGGAAACAGAGTGTAGATTAGAAAGGAAAAAAGAAAAGGAGTACTTGTGGCACCTTAGAGACTAACCAATTTATTTGAGCATAAGCTTTCGTGAGCTACAGCTCACTTCATCATCGGATGCATACTGTGGAAACTGCAGAAGACATTATATACACAGAGACCATGAGGGTAAGAGAACCTGGATTTGTGCTGGAAATGGCCCAACTTGATTATCATACACATTGTAAGGAGAGTGATCACTTTAGATAAGCTATTATCAGCAGGAGAGTGGGTTGGGAGGAGGTATTATTTCATGGTCTCTGTGTATATAATGTCTTCTGCAGTTTCCACAGTATGCATCTGATGAAGTGAGCTGTAGCTCATGAAAGCTTATGCTCAAATAAATTGGTTAGTCTCTAAGGTACCACAAGTACTCCTTTTCTTTTTGCGAATACAGACTAACACGGCTGTTACTCTGAAACCTAGATTAGAAAGGGTAGAGTAACCCTGAGGCTATTGTAGTTTTTCTGAGGGCCAGACAGAGCTCTGCCAAGCCCAGAACACAAGGAACTCAAAGAAAGCTTGAAGCCACCTTTGCCCGAAGCACAGTGATTGTGAAGTGGATGTAAGAGTGCTACTGATCTGCTTTGGTAATCTTATACCCGCTTTGCATTCCCTTGTATTATTGTATATGACTACATCAAGTGCAAGACAGTGATTGAATCAAGCCTAAAAAGCCAAATTCTGTTCTTGGTTACAATCATGCAACCCTGCTGGAGTCAGCAGCCTTGCACAGCCTCACCAAGGGCAGAATTTAGCCCCCTACTTCAGAAACAATGGAGCAAATCAATCCATGTTAAGAATCCTTTAACTTCAGTGCAGTTACACCTGAGGTTGAGTTGTCCCACTGTGTGCCAGAAATTGAAATTTGGATTCACTGGTGGAACAGCATGACTTCTGGTAGGGTTGTGAATTAATTTGTGTCTGGAGTCTCCGTACTTAGTTGTAGAATTCAAAGTGAACAGTCCACTCCTCATTATTCTTTGTAAATAAATACGGTTTTGTAGAATGTTCAAAACTCCAGTGGAAAGTTGGCGTGGGGGAGGATGGGGTGTTTTCTCTAAATGAATAAGCCTAGTCCATGGAGCTTGCAACCCAAACACTTGCAGCCTAGTGTTGGTACCTGAAAACCTAAAAGTGAAATTGTTTAGAAACCTGATTGTGATTTACACTGAAGTAGATCTAATTCTGCTCTCCAGATTTAACTATAAAAGAGAAGTGAAGGTCCAAGCTGAGAGAAATGAAAGGAACTAGAGAAATAGCATTGAAAAGTAAATCAAACTTGTGGGAATTCTCTTAATCTAAGGTTAGATTAGTAACCTAGGAAAAAGAACATGCTTTTTAAAAGTCTGACTGTGCTTTTAGCTTGACTGTGGCCCTTGAACTTTTCTCTCTGTGATTGGAAGGCTGATTGGTACATGTCAATCTTGGGTGCAGCAAGAACAAACCAAAGTCTGCTTCAGCAAGTGGGCGGTTGGTTACTGACCTCAGATACACAGGTGAAAGATACTGGGGTGAGCAACCAAATTTGGCCATGATTCTTTGCTGCAGTGGATGGTTGATGTGGAAACGTTTCTGATGGGATGCAGAATAGTGACTTGACTTGGGGGAGATGACAATCCACACAATTGCCACTTGTGCGTGTGTCCTTAGCTTTGCTTACAGATAATTTTCTCCTTCATAATTATCTAAGGTAATGTCAAGTTTTTGTCCATCAGGTGTCAGCTGTTCTATAAGGCAAATGATTTAAGCATTTAAAGATGTATTGAGGTATGCTGTAGATACGTTGAGTTGCCTAGTTATGAAAATCACGAAATTGCATGACTCTGCTGGTTCATATAATATTTCCTATCAGACTGTCCAAGCAATCAGAAATCAGCTGATTTCTTGCTTGCTTAACATAGCTCTTTTCTTTTGCTTTCCTCCCGAGGAAGGCAGTGGAATGGGAGTGTTGTTTGTATATCCCCATTGTGGAAATACTGCAATTTGCATAGAATTTTTGACGGATGTGATTGCAATGCTCGTTTAAATAGTTTTACTGCTCTTGTACTGAATGAATAGCTTTAATGAAGAGTGACTGATTCTGTCTCACACCAGTTTTACATCTGTGTACTTTCATTGACTTCAGTGGAGCTATTTCTTCTTTACCAGTGTATGTGAACTGAAAATCAAGCCCAGAATGTTTTGCTTTATATGTAGTTACTATTTAAACTCCCCTGTGTATATAGAAATGTAGACTATCGGATGCCAGGTAATATTAGGCCCTTGTGCATTTACACACCATCTGCTTCCACACATGCTGGATATCTGATCAACCTGTCTGTGTAGCAGGTAACAGGATGGTGTTACCACAAAGGGATTGCATTAAGCCAGATTCTCCTTTGGTGCAGGTGGGAGGAAAATGGGGCCTAAAGGATGTGAAAATATTTCAACTGTATTGGAAATTGATGTGATTGCATACTGCTGGGGGATATTGGGCTACGTAGGCCTTATAATAAACAATGACCTGTCCCTCTTGATCGCTGGTCAAGCCAAGCCTGTGATTTTTAAATGTGATCATGATGACCTCAGCTGTTGGAGTATAAACACTTTCCTGCCTTTAAAGACAGCCAGCCCTGAATGTGCCTATGCAATAGTAAATAGATTACTAAAATGTTTGAAAAGTGATAAACCCAACACTGCTTCTGTTTTTGTTTTTCCTGCAGAGCAACGATGAGGAACGCAGGTAAGAGTACTTCATTTCTCTGCTCGTCTATAATGTCTGAAATTCCATTTGAAAAGCTGTATGTCTTTAGATTAAAGATTGTGAGAAGCAGCATAGTCCAATGGACTGATCGTGGGACTGAAATCCAGGAACACTAGAGGTATAGTCCTAGTTGTGCCTCCGACTCCTTCCACAGTCTTAAGCAAGACACTTCCGTCAGAATATTCAAACTTAGCTGCCTGACTTCAGGAACCTAACACTAGTTAAGCCCTCTAAATACATGGCTTGATATTCAGGGATCCTTAACACCGCCAGCTCCCGTTAGCTTCAGGTATACCTGGATTTGGCCTAGTTTTTTGTTTTGGAACCAGTTTTAATATAATATAACTTTTGTTTCTCTAGCAATCTAGGCAGGGCAAAAATTTATTCAAGCTCAGTGACTGTAAAAGAAGCTGTTGTTCCCGGCCTTACCCAATCCAATGCAATGTAAAGCTACCTACCCATAAAGCAGTTTTAAAGACTCTAACTCATAACTCTAAAAAGAAAAGGAGTACTATTGGCAGCTTAGAGACTAACCAATTTATTTGAGCATAAGCTTTCGTGAGCTACAGCTCACTGCATCGGATGCATTCAGTGGAAAATACAGTGAGGAGATTTATATACACACAGAACATGAAACAATGGGTGTTACCATACACACTGTAAGGAGAGTGATCACTTAAGTTAGCTAAAACCAGCAGGAGAGCGGGGTGTGGGGGGAGAGAAAACCTTTTGTAGTGATAATCATGGTGGGCCATTTCCAGCAGTTAACAAGAATGTCTGAGGAACAGTGTGGGGTTGAGGTGGGGGAAATAAACATGGGGAAATAGTTTTACTTTGTATAATGACCCATCCACTTCCAGTCTCTATTCAAGCCTAAATTAATTGTATCCAGTTTGCAAATTAATTTCAAATCAGCAGTCTCTCGTTGGAGTCTGTGATATATGCCATCATGTGCCAGCAATACGCCTCTGCCATGTACATTGGTCAAACTGGACAGTCTCTACGTAAAAGAATAAATGGACACAAATCAGATGTCAGAAATCAGATTACATATTATAATTATGTCAAGAATTATAACATTCAAAAACCAGTCGGAGAACACGTCAATCTCTCTGGTCACTCGATTACAGACCTAAAAGTCTCAATATTACAACAAAAAGCCTTCAAAAACAGACTCCAACAAGAGACTGCTGAATTGGAATTAATTTGCAAACTGGATACAATTAATTTAGGCTTGAATAGAGACTGGGAGTTCCTTGACGCTCAGGAAAGTGTTACATGTATTCTAATAGTCTTCAAAAGACTTGTAGCATCCTACATATGTAGGATCCTAAATGAACAATTGAATCTGTGGATGGGCTGAATTGGGGAGTATGGTAAGAATGAACAGTTTAAGGTAATGGGATGACAGAGGTAAAGCAGTTCTTCATGTTCTGTTTAGTGTGGGACTTTTGATCTGGCTGCAGATGGTTTAGTGTCCTTTCAAAATTGCAGCCGGTAGGTAACAAATGGTGTTAAGTCGTTAGAACCCAGTGATGCATTGCTGCCTCCATGAAGATGCCCTGGTGTACTCATTGGTACTGATTAGTTTGTTTATGTTGAGCTTCTGTCTGGCTGGGTCTATTGTAACTAACACTTCGGTGCCTATTTTGCTGTTCTTATTCATTCATTTATGATATGCTCTTCACAATCACTGAAAGTCAACTGCATCTTTTTGACAAAGGTGCTGATAACAATTTTGGAATACAGCTTAATGTAAGAGAGAGATCAGGAGAGGCAACAACACTTCTGTAAATGGGGGAGTATAGTTAAAAATAACACTATGAATTGCTATTCCAATTCTTGCACCAGCTTGGATTGCCTGGAGCCCAGGACAAGTAATATTGTGCCTGTTGTTATTGACCATTCCATGCAGTGTTCACATTCTCTCTCAACCGTGTTAATAACCCAAAAAACTGTGGATGCACTGTGGTACACTGAAAATGTGGAAGAAGTGTCGAATTGACTTTAATATCAGAATAACACAGGGGTTACTGTGCTGACTATCGTCTGGTTAATAAAAATCTCAATTCTTTCAACATATCTGAAGCTGCTGTAGAGTCGAGGGACCCTGAAGTAGATTTTAGGTCAAATGTGCCATGGAGTAAATGAGACCTTGTGCATAGACTGAGGCAGCTGGCCATGAGTCTGTCCACTCCAACAGAGGGAGAAGCAGCATCAAAGGCCACCGAGACCACTGAAACAGAGCTGGTCCCTGCTGCTCTGGCAGGACTTTGCTGATATCACACCCCAGCGAAAAACTCTGCAAGCCACCCTACCATTCATGGCCCTCTGCTGAGGTGGGCAGGGGTTGAGTTCTCTCCCCTTTTGGGATGGACCCCAGCCCATGGGAAGACAGGTTTCATGGCCAGCTGCCTCAGCCTGTACAGAAGTTCTCACCTACTCAATGGCACATCATACCTAAAATCTGCTTCAAGGTTGCTGGACTCTGCAGCAGCTTCAGATATGTTAAAAGAAACCATTAGGAAAAGGATAGATAATAAAGAAAATATCATAATGCTACTATATACATCCATGCTACACCCACACCTTGAATATTGTGTACAGTTCGGTCGTCCTATCTCAGAAAATGTATAGAGAAGGGCAACAGAAATTATTAGAGGTATGGAACAGCTTCCATTTGAGGAGAGATTAAATAGACTGGGACTGCTCATCTTAGAAGAGAGATAAGGTGGTGGGGGCAGAATATGATAGAAATCTATAAAGTCATGAAAGGTGTGGAGAAAGTGAATAAGGAAGTGGTGTTTACCCCCTCATGTAACACAAGAACCAACAGTCACCCAATGAAATTAATAGGCAGCAGGTTTAAAACAAACAAAAGGAAGTACTTCTTCACACAACGCACAATCAACTTGTGGAACTCATTGCCAAGGGATGTTGTGAAGGACACAAGAATAACTGGGTTCAAAAAAGAACTAGATAAATTAATGAAGGATAGGTCCATCGGTGGCTGTTAGTCAAGATAATCAGGGATGCAAATCCATGCTCTGGGTGTCCCTAAGCCTCTGACTGCCAGACGCTGGGACTGGACGACAGGAGATGGATCACTCGATAATTGCCCTGTTCTTTCATTCCCTCTGGAGCATCTAGCACCGGCTACTGTCAGAAGACAGGATACTGGGCTAGATGGACCATTGGTGTGACCCAGTATGGCCATTCTTATGTGGTGGCCTAGAGATTAGGAGAGGCCTCTACTAGTCCAAAGAGTAGTGGTGGTGGTGACCTCAGCTTTTGTGTGGGTGGCCCTTTCCACTACCACCCCAGTTAAAGGGTGACAGGACTGTCAAGGCCTCCATATAAGGGTATTCCTAGGGGCTAGACTGCCTTAATCTAGCCTATGTACAAGTGCATGTATGTTGGATAAAGTCCTTTTAAAAATCAATGTTCTTTGTGGATACTAAAAATTTCATGGCCCTCTTTGTAAGAGGAGGAATTTGCATTGTGTCCTTGCCAAAATTTCCTTTCTCTGCCTCTCTACTGTTGCCTTCCTGCTGCACGGGGTTTGCATTTTGCTCATGCTCTGTTTCTATAGCGTGTAAAACGCTTCATGATGAAAGCCCCAGTAGAAATTTAACATGCCATTTCTCTGGCCTAAATGGTTGGTTCCTAGTGACTTCACCTTTCCCACTTACCTCCAAGCCTCTGTGCATTGTAACAAATGGCTTAGTATCTCACAGGGGCGGCTCTATCAATTTTGCCGCCCCAAGCAGTTGCCGCCGAATTGCCGCTGCCACTAAATTGCCACCACTCCAGGAAAAGCGGTGGAGCTGCCGCCGAATTGCCGCTGCGGGACACGAACTGCTGCCCCATTCTGAATGACGCCCCAAGCACCTGCTTGGAAAGCTGGTGCCTGGAGCCGGCCCTGGTATCTCATATCACATCCATGCTTTCTTTAGCCACTTCACCTTCCATATATGCAATACTAGTATCAAACATTCTGGATGCTGTGCTTACTTTGCAATAGCTGAGCTACAGGGCTTTCTATACTGCTCATTTCCTAGGATTCCAAATATAACCCGTCATTATTCTAAACAGTGATTGAAATCCCTGATGAAAATGAAGAGTGATTGTAAAGCAAACATGCACAAAATGAAGCTTGCACCCTACCATAGTGGACATATTGGACAGTAATTTTCTCATGCACTTTTATGATCATAGGTTCTTATTCCTGCATCATTTACAAATATCCTTCAATGTGATGAATAAAGGAAGAGTTTGAGAGTTACTTCGGGCACCCATCCAACCCTACAGCCATCGGAGCCCTAGCTTTACTAAAGCTATCTCAGTGACAGTAAAGAGATATTAACAGGATCCCAGAAGAAGAGTAAATTATAAACAGGAACAATCTGCTCACCTTACACAGAACAATTTTGAGTTAATAACCCGCTTTGCCACTAGGGAGTAGTTGTCCATTGTCTTTCCATCTGCCCTTATTTTGTCTCTCTCTGATTAGAACTCGTTTGGGCGGGGGCGTATTGATGTGCATGGAGATGGAGGTTTAACCAGTGCTTAGTCATTTTAAAGAGGGTTTTTGCCGAGGGCAGACTTGTAAAACGGACAGCAGCTTTCCATCTTCTGCCTGCTATTCTGGGCTGTTCCTGTCCAGGTGAGTTTCTTATCCTCCTCCTGCCTGATCTGGAGGTGAAGTATTGCACTGTGTGAAACTGTCGTCAAAAAATTTCCAGCCTAAACGCAAAATCTAATCACCCACCCTTAGCATGATGATGAAAAAGCAAATGGTATTTTATTTGCCCACCAGATAAAATTATTTGCCTTAAACTTTGTATGTCAAATGACACTACCAAGGCTTCCAGGCTCCATATAATACCCTTGCAACTTTTCCTGCCCCCTACATAAGCTAGCCTTGCTTTTGAATATAACTGTGATACAAAACTGACACTTGGTGTTAGAAAACTAAG